CACACACACACACACACACACACACACACACACACACACACACACAGAGTTGGACAGGTGGAGGCCGATATGGAGGGGAGAAGAAATATTAGAAGTACTCTCTCTCTCTCTCTCTCTCTCTCTCTCTCTCTCTCTCTCTCTCTCTCTCTCTCTCTCTCTCTCTGATTTCTCCATTTACTGACCGTTAAAAGATGATGTCTTCAACTGCAGCAGATCGAAGAGTGCAGGCCATCCAATGGCTGGTACGAGTCCCCAAGCAATGGCGCCCAGGTGAGTACTCTGATGCCCTCAATGCCACTAAGGATCTCTCTCCCTCTGCAGTCTACCTCCTACCTCCTCTAGTGCTAATCCTAGCTCCTGACGATAATTCTTACAGCGCTGCTCTCGCCAGCCTGTTGCCAAATTTTTAGTCTTACACAGTGTGTGCTAGTGTGTTCTGGGCCCAGCTACGTAACGCTGGGCCTACCTGAGAGTCACCTGGTACTCCTCCTAGTCCCTTGGACCACCATCTCTTCCCATGGTCCCAAGAGGACCAGGCCATTGGAAACAGCAGGACCAAAAAATCCTGAGGACCAGGCCAATAAATCCTGGTCCTGGTCCAAAGGACCAGGCCAAGGAAACAGCTGGCCTGGGTTCCAGTTCGACGGTCCAATGGTCACCTGGTACTCCTCCTAGTCCCTTGGACCACATCTCTTCCAATGGTCCCAAGAGGATAGCCAAAAAATCCTGGTCCTGGTCCAAAGGAGGACCAGGCCAAGGAAACAGCCAGCCTGGGTTCCAGTTCGACATCCAGGTGCTTCTGCTACATCAGCAGCTGGTCCAGCGGTAGCAGACAAAAGAAAGTCCAGTCCTAGTACGGACAAAAGTGTCTCCAGGGCCTAGATTGGCCCAAAACGTGTGAGCCAGTCCACACCACTGATTCGTCCCAGTGCAGGTCCCACATGGGCCCTGAGGCTGCACGACCCTCTTGTGCCTGTTCAGACTGACAGAGTCTGAAACACTCTCGAGTTAATAGCTTCTTCCTTATTAATGACTCCAATTGCCTATAGGTGATACCGGCGAGATCCAGTCCAATCGTAGTCCAGAAAAAACTCTGAAACGGTACTGTCCTAAACCAGGACAGAAAACTGAGAAAATAAAATGTAAGCAAAAGCATGCAAGCAGATAAAAATAACCCTCGGCTTGAAAGTCGAGCAAGGCCCCCAAAAAAGATGTCTATGGGCCCAAGGCCGCCCAAAATGTGGGTTGTGCAGCCTCAGGGCCCAGTAGGCGAAGCCAGGCCCCCAGGGCCCATGTGGGAGGCCTGTGCATGCCACAGCCACTCTACATGGTATCATCAGGAGGAAGGTGAATGTTCCAGGGAGCAGTGGAAGACTAGGGGGTATGTCCTGGGGTGCAGGTGGCAGGGTAGTGCCAAAGCGCTGTTTTGGGCTTGGTTCACCCTAGGGGAGAACCACTGTGAGGCATCATCACGGAGAGCCGATAACGTCCTTGCAGAGAGTGGGTGCTGATTAGGGGTGTGTCACACCCTGGGTCGAGGGTGGCAGGGTAGTGTCACAGCGCTTAGAAGCAGTCCACCTTTAGAGTGTGAGTGCGTGTGTGTGTGTGTGTGGCGGGGGGGGGGGGGGGGGGGGGGGTTATTGAATGACAAATCAAGAGTAAATAATCAGACAGAGCAGTTAATGACAGTTATCTTGACCAATCCCCCCCCCCCCCACCCCACTAAAGGTGGAGGGGAGAAGTCATTGAAGCCGGCGTGCGAGCTTGACACACATTTCAGACACCGCCAGTCACGCTAATACCAACCAACCATGTCTTGTCAGATGATCTGCCCTCTGCTCTGTCTTATCAAACAGTCTACCCTTGCGTAAAGTTGTATGTTGCACTATCTCGACCGCAAACCTATCGTTGGGGTAAACATTTACCATATATATATCGTCACAAATAGAACTGCCCGGTAAACCGTAGGCAGAGAGAGAGAAGAGGACAACAAACGAGGGGCTGTGACAAACTGTTTCGTCGGAGTTTCACCGACTCATCAGGAGGCTGAACCCTCAACAGTCTGCAGAATCCCCTCACTGATTACACTGTAAATGATAATCTACCTTAACCAAAATCAAAGTAGACTATCACTCGCCCACACCAGATGGAAAACTCTACAGAGTGTCGGTTCACACCCCATCACAAGCCAGCAAAACATCCACGAAACAAAGAAAGGTCTGTCACAGCCAAAAAATACACTCCAGACACGCCCCTGGTATGGGTTGCAAATTATCGCAACAAGATGGGTTGCAAATAATGGCAACAAAAAAAAGACCCCACACCAAACGCTGCGACAAAATGCAATTTTGCAGAGCGGTGCAATTTGGCAGAGGGGGCTGCAATCTTGCAGAGGGGGCTGCAATCTTGCAGAAGGGGTTGCGATTTTGCAGAGCGGTGCAGTTTTGCAGAGGGGGCTGCAATTTTGCAGAGCGGTGCAGTTTTGCAGAGGGGGCTGCAATCTTGCAGAGGGGGCTGCGATTTTGCAGAGCGGTGCAGTTTTGCAGAGGGGGCTACAATTTTGCAGAGGGCTGCAAGTTTGCAGAGGGAATGATATAGGATCTATAAAAAGAATTGACTAGTACACCTTTTGCTTATACTCTTGGAGATGTGAAATGTGTTCCACTAGATTATAAGTAGAGGAACTAATCAGACTGGAGACTAGAGCAGCACCTAGCGCATGCCCTGAACGAACTGAACTGGTGATCGTATTCCTGAACCTCGATCCCTCCCCTCCTCAGTTACTTATCGCTTCTGATTGCCTTGATGATCTTCAAGCGATTATTAATAACCGATTACTTTGACATTACATATGCCTCACATCGACCAGCCTTACGGTAATAATTTGTCTGTTAAATCTGCAAAAGGATGACATCATCACAGTCCTCCTGGTGCCCACCCACTTGGCTTCCTGTCAGATCATAACTGGGTATTTTCACCATCTGCCTCCACTCTCTCACTTCAAAGGGTCATCATCATCATGTCCCCTCCTTCTCCCAACATCTCCATGAGGATAGCCTGCAGCGGATCCCGGAAAATTCTCCGTGAGAGCCCGCCCACTTGGCTTCCTGTCAGATCATAACCGGGTATTTCCACCATCGGCCTCCAGCTTCTCAGTTCAAAGGGTCATGTCCCCTCCCTCTCCCACGATCTGCATCAGGATAGCCTGCAGCTGATCCCCGAAAGCTCTCCGTGAGAACGAGGTCTCCACGTGGCGCCTTGCGCTTGCTCCCATGATTGCAGCCCTGTCAAGGGATCCCATCAGCAGGTCCATGCAAGCTGCAAAACTCGGGGGTGTCGGGTCACAGAGAAACCCAGTGGACGCCTGATGAATGCTCTCCCTCGGTCCCCCACTGTTGCAGGCAATCACCGGCCGCCTTGCAGCCATGGCTTCCAAAGGCACAATCCCAAAGTGTTCATTCTCCGGTGTGTAGATGACCCCAATACAAGCCGCCAGAAGAGCTGCCTTTTGCTCTGCCGTGAACGACGGCACAAACAGAACTCTCTCCGATATTCCCAACCCTTCGGCTCTCGTCCTTAGCTCCTCCAGATACTCTCTATTCTCCTTCAGACGCGGATCATACCCACCGGCAAGCACAAGCTTCATCCTGTCAATCGATACTTCATTGGCCAGGCTCCTGCTGATGGAACCCAGCCCACCATCGCCAGGATGAACGAGGTTGGAGCTGTTCAGGCTCATGGAAGAATGCAAAGTCCCACCGGCGGGATGGCCGCCGCCGCCGCCAGAAACACTCCCCCCTCCTCCGCCGTCGCCGCCGCTGCTGCTGCTGCTGCTGCTGCTCCCTGAGGAATTGACAGGTGGTGTGCTTGAACTCCTGCCAAGACTATTCCTGGGACCACCACCACCACCATGCGCACTCCTAGGGGAGGGGGAGGTACTTCTCGATCCAAGAGGGGATCGAGATGGCGATCGTGACGGCGACACGTGTCGCTTTACAAGCAAAGCAAACGCGTCGATCGCCAGCTCGAGCTTCTTCTTCCTCTCAAACCGATTAATGGACAAGAAGATCTGGGTTCCGGAAGAGAGGCCTTCTATACCACCCACGCAATCCCTGATGCCACTCAATCTGTCAGTGCTTGCACTCCTTGCTTTGAGAGGAATATTAGGGATGTTGTCATACTCGCGAATATTCACTGCAGGGTAGAGGACAGCAGGACGAATCTTCCTTGCATGGAGTTTTGTGAATGTGTTTGCAAAGACCGTACCTGTGAATTCGCTGTTCACGACGATCTGATCTGCCATGCCCGTGGTCTGCTCCTCGATCCAATCCAACGGCGCGCGGTACACAGATCGAAGCCGTGAGGAGCGGCTCGCCAGCAGTAGGTCGGGGAAATGGCAGTAAAATAGGATCTTCATGTTCTTCCTCCATCGAAGGATGGGAATCACTGCCGACACTTGGTCGGCAATAACACAGTCGAAAAAACCGTGACAGAGAACAATGGCCAGAGCGACATAGATGCAGCGAATGTAGGCGCACAGAGCATGCATCCGGCCAAATATGTGTCGAGGGAAAAAGTCGCCGTAGACGCGAACGGGCAATGTTCCATCGATCGTCTCTTCGAAGCAGCGAGTCGGATCGTGATGAGCGGTGAAGATTTCGACACGGTGACCACGTTCTTTGAGCTCCAAGGCAGCATCAACTATCAGCCTTTCCGCCCCGCCAATTCCCAGATCCGGATGGCAAATCGCGATCCGAAGCTTCCCGCCATCCTGGCCAGATTCATGCACTTTTGGAGGTTCACGCGCCTTGGGAGGTCTCTCCTTCATTTTTTTTGCTCGATCCTACCTGGCAGTGCGTCCCTCCCTCTAGGGTACTCCCAAGCCGAGGCAGTGCCTCCCTCTCTGATATGATATTTGCCTTTGCCACTGGAATTCGACTATCTTTTCTTCTGATACAGAATCACCTGACAAGCTTGATGCAGAATCGGAAAGATTGTGGTAGAGATCGACAATCGTCGATACAAAATTGAAAAGAAAAAAAAAGGGTTAGAGAAATGTCACAGCACTCCGGAGGCGACAGCTGTCGCTCTCCGGCAATGGTGTCATCAGCAGTGCTGCGCTACACGGCGCGCTGATCTCCTCTTTCTTTTCTGCGCCCCCCCCCACCTCCCCCTCCCCCTTCCCGTACTGCTGCGCTACACGGCGCGCTGAATTCTCCACCCCCCCCCTCCCCCCTTCCCCCTCCCCCTTTCCCTAAACGGCTGCCCGTGTGCTACCCTCGTTGATGTTGAGCATCCACTTCGAGATGGCGATTGTGTTCGGCTCTTGGTTCCACCGCCATCTCCCGCGCTGCGGTCCAGGAGCTCATGGAAAGCCGATAGTGGTGCGAGACGACGGAATGACGCCGCGCGGTGCTAGACGAGAGTGAGATGCCCCACAGTGCGTGCGAGACAACGGGGGCAACGTCCCACTTGCGCAAATTAGGAGATTCGGCCGTTGATCTTTGCTATCTACGGTCAGTATCTCTTAATTCGTGCAAGTGGGACCTAGCCCCGGCAGAGGGGACTGCAAATTGCCAAATTGCATTCCCGCCAAATTGCCAAATTGCATTACCGCCAAACCATATTCGTATTCCCGCCTTTTGGCATGCCTCGTCATTTTGCACGTCGTCTTCTGTGTTTCTCCGAGAAGGCGACGGCCTCGTAGATTCATCGACCAACGGGCCTATCTCAGGGCATACTCCCATCTTCCCCCCGACACAACGCACGCTGATAACGAATGCATACGAGTTATCTTTCGGTCCGGTGCAGCCAAAATGAGGGTGCCTTGTGTTCGGCCGGAGAAAACCGGAAGGATTTTCCTCGATGTGTACGGTCCCCGGACCCATCCTGGGGCTAGGTCCCACTTACTCGAATTAAGCGATATTGACCGTAGATAGCAAAGATCTGGCCAGAATCTTTTTTTTTTTTTTTTTTTTTTTTAAAGCAAAGATCTGGCCAGAATCTCTTAATCCGTGCCTCCATAGACAAGTGGAAGAAGGCCTGGTGTGAGTATGACCTACATTGGTACACCCATGAACTGTTGAAATACCGGCCCAAGTTTGATTCCGCAATTTTTTTACGTTCTCAGAGAAGTGGAAGAAGTACTTAGGTAGTGTGAATATACCCTCTCCCATTGGTACACCCATGAACTGTTGAAATGCGGACCCAAGTTCGAGTCCCAGCGGAACTAATACAGACCTGAGTTCGGGTCCCACTGAACTAATACAGTCCTGAGTTCGAGTCCCACCGGAACTAATACAGACCTAAGTTCGAATCCGCAATTGCCTCCCCAAAGAATTGGAAGTAGTAGTACGGTAATGTGAATAATATGCCCTCAGCTGGTACACCTATAAACTGTTGAAATGTGGACCTGAAATGCAGACGCAAGTTGGAATCTCACTTTAATCTGACGAGAAAAATCACCTCTCCCCCCCCCGCCCACCCTCCCCCGCCCCCCTCAAAATTTAAGTTTCATTACTTGATCAAACTTCAGAGGCCGGCTTCCTCTGCAATACTCCCTGTTCGAAAAAGGTATCTGGAAGCATCATCCAGCTTACGCTTACAAGCTGAAAGCCTGCAGGTCTTTTCTACAGACCCGGCAGCTCTGTGGCTGCGAATTTGCCTACAAACTACTGGATACTCGGCCTATGGCTAATAAACTGCACTATCGTTTTCAAACCTTTTTTTTTTTTTTTTTTTTTTTTTTTTAAGGAAAACAGTGGCTGAGACTGTTAGTGATGTTGCTATGAGCGTCCACCACTAACAGCCCAGCTACTAGCTCCAGCCTATTGGTGGGGAGCTGCACCTGCTGGAAAACGGGTCCAGCATCCCTCATACAAATGATGCTTGATCAAGGAAACAGGAAGTGGGCAGATTAGGAAGAACTGCCTCTTCAGCCAGAAACTGGCCGCCAGATGCTCGTGATGTTGCTAGCAGTGCTACCTCCTATATCTTTTGTAGGAAATGTTCTGCAAATTCTGCAGTTCTACAATATCAAAATTTGCACTCTCCGACAGAACTTTCAAGCCATTTCTTCCTGCTCAAGTCCAAACCATTCAGAATTCTCAGGGGTCTGGGAATTCTGAAAGGTGGCGAAGGGGTACAGCAGGGTCTACATTTGTCCATCCATGAAACTTTAAATGGTAATCCTTCAGGACTTCTTTCTTTCGTCCAGCCAGTGTTACTCCCGTCTCTGCTCCATTTAATCTCCCCTATCTTGCCCCCTTGAGGCCCCCCTAGCCATGCGCCACTGAACTGTTGTATGTGTTGTAGGATTTCTTTTTCTGAGGGAAGAAATTTAATCTTTTCTTTTACTTTATCCCATTGAGATAATATAACTGTCTGCACTTGCAGTTTGATTGATTCTGTAAATTCTGGGCCTTCCAGCCTTGCTCCCTCCATTTCAAAAGTGCATCTGCGCCTCCATAGGGCCCAGAGAATTGCTCGTCTTCCGCTTACAAATAGATTGTGTGAAAATTCATCATTTTGATCCGGAGACCAGGTTTCACATAAAAGTGCTTTCCACTTCCACGCCCAAGTTTGAGATGTGTTAATGTTGGTCCAGATCCTGTCCCACCATCTCCACAGCCAAACTGCTCCTGGACATTGCAGAAAGATGTGTTGAATGGTTTCCGAAATTTTCCTAGATGGAAAAGTTGAGCAGCACAGTTTACACCAAGGTAAAGCTACCACCCTCTGCTCTAGAGAGGATCTATCTATAAGCCAATCATTGGTTGGGAGACATCGATGGTCTATGTGTCATTGCAGTGAGGCTACTTTGGGCGACTTGGTCTTTATCGTTTTGAACCATTTGATGTTTCGTAATTCCTCCTTGCTGACATTTAGTTGTTTCATCCATCTTGCTTCCACTCTGTCTTTTTTCAGGTTCAACCTTGGTCTTAACATACGGTATGTTGATTTGGCGGTTAGTGAGTGAAGGGAGCGGATGCATTTTCCTCGTCTCCCCATGGGGACCGTCCATATCCAGGATGTCGGGGCTAAGGCCAAATTATTAATCGCACATGATGGCTTAAAGGCCATCCAATGTTCTTTGCACCTCAAGACTCTAATCCTGAAAACTTGCTCTGTTGTGACCCATCTGGATTCCTTTGATTGATTTTTCTTAATTTTATTGTTTTGTGTGAGCGATTTGTGGTCCTTTCTTGAGGATTTTCACCCACTCTAAGAGAATGGATTCAATTATTGTCTCTAGTGCCTCTTTTGTCCCCCTACCACAGCACAATCTGGATTTGAGGTCTGAGAGAGTACGCCAATCCAGATCCTCTGAACTCCAGATATCCCCAATTCTAAGTATACCTTTTCTAATCCATCCCTTCCAGGGAGAGTCCATATAGTGAAGCATCCTACCCTGAGTGTCGGTGATCCATCTATTGTCGAATAGAGGTTGCTGACATACTTTTTCCCACCGATTTGGTGGAACTTTATCTGGGAGCGGTAGTTTGCGCCAAGTTCGTAGCAGATCCTTCCAAAATGGATCATTTTTTAAATCATCCCTTGTTGCTCGACGATGAGGTTTTATTTCTTGTGATGAGGTTTGTACTCTACCTTTTGGGATTGTCCAATAGCGATTCTCCAACCATATCATTTGATTTGTCCCCTCAGGAGATATTGGAGCTAGTCATGAAATTTGCTCCCATGCCAGAGCTAACCAGGGTACATTTGGACTGAAAAGTAATCTTAGTATCCACTGAATGGAGAGTGTCATTGTTTGAGTGGCAGGGTCTAATATTCTCAATCCCCCTCTTGTCTTGGGTTGAATTATCGCTTGTCAGGCCACTCTACTTATTACATTCTTATATTCATGTTTACCTCTCCAGAGGTAAGCTGTGATTTGCTTCTGTAGAGATTTGAGAGTCGGCTTGTCTAGAGACCATACTGCTGATTTGTACCATATCGATGCAAGGATCACATTGTTTATAACCAGCGATCGTCCGATAATAGATGTCTGCTTATCTTTCCATAATTCTAATTTAGTTAGGGCCGGCTTTGAGATTCAGTCATTGTTTGTTAATGGTTTTCCTTCTGTAGATAAAGAAATGCCTAACACTCTGATTGGGATTGTTAGTGGCATCCAGTTAATACTTGGTTTCTCTGGGGGTCTCACTCCCTGGTGATGTATCCACCATCCTTGAGTTTTAGCCCCCCAGTTGATCCTCATATCTGATAATTCACAAAATTTGTCCATCAAAATTTTAATTGCTGCTAAATTGTCCAAAAAGACTTCTACCATTAAGGGAAGATCATCCACGAATAGTGAACATACAGGTATGACCTCTTTTGGAATATAACTGACCTGTATTCTTTTAATATCCTTGTTGCATCGTAGATTAGCCGCTAGGGCCTCCATTATGAATACAAAAAGAAGAGGGGCAATCGAATCTCCTTATTTCACTGATCGCTCGAGTCTTATTGGTTGTGTTAGGTTTCTATTTATCATCACCCTGGTAGTGGCGTTTGAGTGCAGAATCTCTATCCATCTCCGAAATTCAGGACCGAAGTTAATTTTTTCCAAACATTTGTCCAGAAAAAAACAACCCACATGATCATAGGCTTTCTCAAAATCTATGAAGATAAAAGCAGTATTATGTTTGGATTGTCTTGATAATTTAATTAATTCATTTATTAGTAGTATGTTATCCTGAATGTTCCTCCCCTC